AACCAAACATCCTTCAATAAACATGGGTCGTCATAATAGCAGTTATTTTACCACCCCTACATTAACAGTCTACATCGCTTTGGAAATCCACGGATCGTATCATTGTATACTTCTACACTTAGTGAATCCATGCTAATACGCAATATGAGGCCTGAACAGTCACGAAAACCTACGATATCTCGCTGAGGCATATTAAAAGTTTAATTAAACATCCTCAAAGATACCGGACCAACCTGGCCCAGGGGGGGCAGAGCAGAAGTCCCTCTGCAACAACTTTTTTCTCACCGGTGCGGGATAATAGAAGCACATGTGTGCCGACCTACAACAGACAGGGCATATGAGTTGGATCAGGTAGTACGCAGTCAAGAGTAGCCTAAATTAGACACTGCACTGATTTCTAAGAAACTCCAGGGCGTCACGGAATCATACCGTCATGCTTGGCTCGGACACAGGCCTGGGAATCTCAGGGACTGAATCAATACGAGATGTGCCCTATCATATAACATGCCGAGGATGGTAAATTCCTTCGCCATCCAAATCTCATGGGATACTCATACCAAACAGGTCAGGGATTATGAATACTTACTGCCTGGCCAGTAACCGCTCCGGAGTTTCTGTGCATGAATGCATACACATCAGCCTTGATGGTTTTGAACTCATCCATCATTGCCTTCAGCTCCTCCATTCCATTCTGTAGTTGTTCCCACCCATGCTGGAATGCTACACTGTCTGTTAAACCAGTTGACTCGCTGCGGGGATGAGCTGAACTTGCCGCACTGTCGACCTTTGACCGCTTCTTAATCTTTCCCCCAAGGGCCCGTCGGTACAGAGTCTCCCGAACAGAGGGAGTCCGCCCTTCAGGGGGAACCTTGTTTAGCTCATTCTGTAAATAAGTCTACAGGAAAGATTTAAGTGAGGCCGAACTTGCTCTTGTTGTTAGAGATGTAAATACTGACTGAATTGTAACTAAGTTGGGAACGAATTTATTCTACCAATATCTCCTCGGTTTCTTGGTCATCCTTTCCCTTGCCTTGTGTGCGACTGGAAATCCAAATCTCCAGATTGTCGGGGTCCTTCCCCTTTGCCTTGATCTGCAGCAATACAAGGCCTTCTGTCATCGAAAACATAATGAAATACAGGAGAGGAAAATATGGGGATGGAGCATGACATGACTAATTACTTAATTGTAATAAAAGGTACCTCCTCTGCCAGAGTCGTGAATGACTTCCGCCCAGTACGATGTGGAAAGCTTCTTTTCGCTACGTTCGACGCATTTTTCTTGGATTGAAGCTACGTCAATCAAAGTTATTTAGTTCTCAGTCCATGCCCGTGCAGATTTAACGTATATTAATTTGGCATGTCCCTATGCGTACCTTCACCTTCTCGTCGCGCCAATACTCAACCAACTTCGGCCACTGATCGGGCACAATCCTGCTTGAGGGAACCTTCTTCAGTGCTTCTTCATCGTCCTCGATCGGATTGAAGTAAGTTGATTTGATGCTGTATTTCCAGTGCCTCCAAACTTCCCTTAGGTCAGCCAAGACCACTTTCTCCGCTGAGTCTGGTAATCCGCTGTTACTCTGGAATGCCGTTTCACACGGTTTCCACCAGGTCCGGAGAAGATGGTAGGGCCATATATAAGAATCTATATGAAATAAAAGAACTTTCAATTTAATGAAGTTTGCATCACCTGAACCTCCATCCATGCACCCTGTCTCTTCGTCTCCGGTATCTCAGCGAACGTGGGGTAATGTAGAGGAAGTCGAGCTCCGTTGCGTGCAATGACCCCAATGGCTGTCTTGTACTCGTTTACGTCGGGTCCGACGATGCTTTTACCATCCGGCGATGTGAATACAAGCATCCTGTGATCTTTTCCCCATCCACGCGGCATTCGTGCCGCCCCTCTCCCCTGCTTTTTCTTTGACGAACCAGCTGACACAAACAGGAGATTACATGTTCTAATAAGGATATTACATGCAAAATATGAAGTCACTAAATGTAATCGGTAATCTTTGAAGGCTAATTTCCAAACCGTCGTGCGATGTCATCTCGTCCAATGGTGCCATATTGCCCGCCTCTGTTCCTGTCATCAGAGTGGGGTCGGAGCCTGGCCCTTCATCCAAGAGTGGCATATCACTCTCTGCAGTCTCCATGTCCTGCGTCGGCGGAAGTGTCTCGTCATCTGCTTGTGTGGGGGGGATTGTATCATCGTCATCCTGTGTCAGTGCCGTCGGATCAAAAAGTGATGGAACATCCCTATCATCATGTTCCTGTTGGGGTTAACAGTGTCAGCCTATTGTAGTGTTATACTGAGAGTTCAAATAAGGACATGCTTTCGGCAAAGGAACCACATTACCTCCAAAGGGCCCTCTGAATCCTGAAGCACTGCCCTTCGAGTGGAAGATGTTGGCTTCATGCTTTGACCACGAGCATCGCGCTCTTTCTCCCACTCTGATGTGATGGACCGGAGTCGCTGGAGCAGTGGCGAGACCCGAGATCCCTTCCGTTTTGTCACTTTCTTTGTGGGATTGCGGATGGGCGATGGATTCCTGCTTGCGGGATGAGTTGCCTCTAGGGGGCTGTTACGTGCGGATGCCCGGGTAAAACGTCTTGCGGGAGAGACTGCCGGATCCTGTGACCCTCCAACGGCAGCACGTTGAGATTTGCCCATAACCTGCAAGACACCAGTGTTAGTTGGCAGTATGAAAACGTATATTAGGAGAAAATCAAAACACACTTATCACAACAAAGCTTATGAAGTGACATATTACGAGAAATTCACATAATAGTTACTGCAATTAATCAGGGTAAATTGCTTCAGCATACGCAAACGGGGGTAAAGAGCTTATCCGCGTTGACATATTCGGAAAAAATCATAACATCCTGCGCGCGCATAATGGATGCAAAGTGCTTCAGCAAATCAAGCGAAAACAGGGCCTATGAACGATGGCATGCATGTCCGAAAGTGGTTACCTATTACGTACTTCAATCACCGACCCCCCCTCCCCACATAGATGACCATCTGTTGAGATGTGTAATTTATTCTGAACTGCGAACTCAAAAAGGTTGCGTGGTTGCCAAACCATCAAAAATGGGCCAATTAGGCTATATTCGCATACTACCAAAAATGCCCGCTTATTTGATTCTGCGCTAAGCACCATCATCTTCGGAGGATTCCTCCGAATCCGAAGGCGAAGTATCGGCATGGTCCATCTGCCCTGCATCTTCTACTACTTGCCCCTCAATACCTTCCCTTAGCCAGTAATCGGCTGCTCCTCTAACATTGCCTCCGTCATCTAAAGGTAACCCTGTGCTGAATCTATGATCGATCGTACTATACACGTCATACGTGTCTCGCCGTGACACCGGAACGACAACGCTCCAACCTTCATCAACCGGGTCTGCAATGTACCACACCTGAGAGGCTTGGGTCGCTAAGATGAAAGGCTCATCCGTGGGCAAGTTCTTGGGGTACATCAAATACTTAAAGTTCACACATTTATATTTGAACTCATCCTCTTTAACGCCCCTCTCCAGATCCACCCAGTCACATTTTAAAAGGAGATACTTCTGTTGATTGCTATAGTACACTTCCACAATGTCCGTAAGAATCCCGTAATATGCCACGGAACCTTCTCGTGGGTTATGGTCCCTAGCTGAGGCATAACTCACTGTATCTGCCGTAACCATAACACCTGCACACTGTGTCCTCTTCCTTGCATCCCGGTCTTGAACACGATAGCGTATTCCTGACACAATGCACGAAGAGTACCGTGTTGCATTGCATAATGGTCCACCCGCCAATGCACGGATCTCCGCTGAGATTGGGCACTCATCATTATTCGTCGGATCATCTACCTACATTTGATGTAAAGTAGTTCATGAACACTCGTGATTTCAATGTTTTTTGGGAGTGTAGTCAAGATACCACGTACGGACGATGTAGGCGGTACTCACATATGATTGAAACCAAGACGCAAATTGTTCGTTGTGCTGCTGGTGCACCTCACGTGGGGGTGCGCGAGTTCGACATGACCTAATAGTATCAAGGTGAATCCTACAGTGCAAAAATAAAAGTCGAAGATATTCAACACAGGTCGGATACGCATACAAGTATTGTTAAATTGATGTGAAAAAACCTTCGCAACGGACTGATTTCATCTATATTTCCTAGGATGTAGCAATGAATTTGGTGCATCGTATTGTAATCAAGATTGAACCTAGAACCAAACAATCCTTTCCCGTGTTGTGTCCCGTCCTCCTCCCCTCGAGCAGCCCGGTTCTCTTTGGTCTCTATGTCTCCGAGATATCTTGAGCAGAAAGTCACGCATTCTTCCATGAGGTATCCACGTGCAATCGAACCCTCAGGTTGTGCCCTGTTCCGTACGTACCTCTTCAGAGTACCCAAGTACCGCTCAATGGGATACATCCACCGGTACTGCACCGGACCGGCCACCATAGCCTCCTCAGCCAAATGGATAGGCAGATGCTCCATTACATCAAAGAATGAAGGTGGGAATAGCTTTTCAAGATGGCATAGCGTCAAAGAAATTCTTTCTTGGATTCGCTCCAGTTCACGAACTGTGTTATGAGCTGAGCACATCGAATTGAAGAAGTTACAAAGTTCAATCAACACGAGCACAACATTTTTGGGAAGACACCTACAGGAAGTGTTGAATCAGCACCTTCAGTTATATTTAGAGGAGGCATATATCATGTTAATTAAAATAATTGCGTTTCAAGGGTATACCGTCGGGCAGCAATAGGTAGAATTCGTTGCATAAGAACATGGCAATCGTGGCTCTTAAGTCCCCATATTAGTTGTTGTTCTACCTTCACACGACGCGATAAGTTTGAACTGAACCCATGAGGTGGTCGGAGGTCCTTCAACACAGATAGGAATATCCGTTTTTCGGGGTTACTCATGGTGTACGTAGCTGCCGGCAAATATATAGCGCCCCTAGGACCCGATACCGGGTGTAAAGAACTACGTATTTGCATCAACTGTAAGTCTTTCCTCGTGTTCAGATTGTCCTTTGTTTTCCCCTTAGTTCCCAACAATGTATACAGTACATTCTCACACACATTCTTTTCAATGTGCATCAAGTCGAGGTTGTGACGTACCTCATTCTCAGACCAATAAGGGAGCTGAAAGAATATGCTCTTTTTTTTCCACACCTGTTGCTGCCCGTCCACCCCCCGGCGACGCTTGCGAGACCCCTGTGCAATGCGTTTCTCAATCAAGTCAACCGTACGATACTCAGTAGGCATATCCTGAAGCTGCTGCAGAAGTTCAGCGCCGGTCAAGCGAGAAGGCTTTCCGTCAAAGCTCATCGAACCGTCAAATGCATGTTTATCAAAGCGCATTCTATGCCCAGCCGGCAGGAACCGTCGATGCCCGCAATAGCTATACTTATGTCCATTTTTCAGGTATCTGGAATGAGTTTTTAAACCACAAACAGGGCATGCATTCGCCCCACGAGTCGGCCACCCTGACAACATACCGTAACCGGGAAAATCACTAATAGTCCACAGCAATGCAGCTCGCATCTGGAAATCCTCCTTAGTACTCGCATCGTACGTCCGAACACCATCATACCAAAGCTCCTTAAGCTCATCGATCAAAGGTTGAAGGAAGACATCAATCCGATCCCCCGGGCCATGCGGGCCGTCTATAATCGTAGAGAGGATGAACGATGGTTGCTTCATGCACAGCCACGGAGGTAGGTTATATATCACAAGTACGACGGGCCAAATACTATAACTCACACTCATATTCCCAAAAGGGTTGAAACCGTCAGTGGCCAGACCGAGGCGTACGTTGCGAATCTCCTCAGAGAACGTCGGGTACCGATGATCGAAACTCTTCCACGCAGGACTATCTGCTGGATGACGCATCTTGCCATCGTCTACACGCCCTTCGGCATGCCATCTCATAGAAGATGCAGTTTTGGAAGATACGTACCATCGCTGCAATCGCGGAATTAATGGAAAGTACCTTAACTTCTTCACTGGAGATCTATCTTTACCCTGTGTAAATCGCTTTTCCCCACACACAACACAAACCTCACGGTCAACATCTTCCCCGGTAAACAACATGCAATTGTTGATGCACGCATGGATAGTCTTGCATGTGAACCCCAAGTCCTTGGTCAGCTTATTAGCCTCATAGAAGTTCTTCGGAAGGACAACATCGTCTGGAAGTGCATCCCGTAACAGCTCTAACAGCAAATCAATAGAATTATTAGACCAGTGGCACAAAACCTTCAAGTGCAAAAGCCGTGCGATAAACGAGAGTCTACTCATCTTCTTGCACCCTGGTATGAGCTCTTTCTCTACATCTTCTAACATCTTTCTATACCCCTTACTGCCATGATGTATATGTTCATTTTCGTCATCCCTATGAGGTTCATTTCCACTGGGCCCCGGATCGGTGTGCTCTGTATATGCACACTCTCGCAATAGAAGTTCTAGTTCCTCCTCCCAACGCATTGGCATATTGTCGTTTGCAACAGCAGGGTTCACCTCTCCTTCTCCGTGGCAAGTCCAAACCTTGTAGGTTTGGTCGAATCCATAACGAATACAATGGAGCAAGACATCTCTACGAGATTTTGTTAAGCGATTTCCGCAAGATGTACAGGGGCAATAGATGCAAGATTCAGAGCTACGATCTTTAAATGCGAAATCTAAGAAAGCCCTGACCCCGTCCAAATATTGAGCGGAGATATGGTTCGCATCGTCTATCCAACTCCTATCCATCTAGCAATATAATATACATGCGATTCCATCAACAAAACATGCAACCAAAAACATATAAGTACAACATAACCTTCACCGATATAATAGGAAACATGGATGCTCTTCATGACGCTAGCATTATAATTTATCACAACATTAAGGCACATGGACCAAAATCAGCAGCCCTCACCACTTAAAAATCTTCCATAGATGCAATGTAAATAGTATTATATGGATATATTTCCCGTCACAAATGCTGGGCCGTCACAAATAGACACATCAGCAGCAAGAGAGAGTGAGAAAGAAGTGAAAAAGTTTCTGAAATTGACAAGACATGGGGAGCATGGGGGGGACATCCGTGTGTATGCTGCAACCACTATATCTATCTATCTATCTATCTATATGGGACTGGAAGATGGAGATTGAGATGGAAGACGTGTACTATAAGAATTTTGAGATAGATATACATATATATATATAGAGGTACAGAAATGGCTCTCTACCCCAATTAGAGGGATACAAATAGGAATAGTACACAGCACCAAAGCCACAAGATTCACTGTATCTGTTTCCACCAAAACTGCATTTGCATCATCTTCTTCTCACATTACTACTCTCGCCCTCATCCTTTACTCTCTACTCTCTACTCCCTACTCTCAATGCAAAGTGTAAATAAGCCCTGGATTTTATCCTTAATTTATAGAAATGCTATAATGAATATATGTATGGGTGACTGTATGTGTATACGCATACTACAAATGCAGGATAACGAAATCTGATAGTAAATTACCTACGATCAGAAAACTGAACTGCAATTCAAGAAGCATGCAACTTGAGGTATTTCGCAATTCATAAATCTTGTTAAATGCTTCCCAACAGCCGAATTAAGTTTCCTGACGTAATGTATTACTTTGTATTCTGAACAAATTAGCAAGAGGATTGAGCTAATATGTTTTAATCTAACATTTAAGCTACCAGAACAAAGAAATACCTCATAAATTTAACATACAGTAAAGCATTGCACTTGGTGTTTAACTATAAATTAAAGATAAATATCAAAAAAATAAATTCAACCAAAAAAACTCTCCTTCTGGACAAAGGAATACAAATTCACCTCAAATGTAACACACGATAAAGCCCAAACAAATGGAGTTAAAATGTAAGACTATATCCATACCGAGAAAGAGGCGAAGAACTTTGGAGTAATACCAAATCTTTCGGGAGAAAACTTAAAAACCTTACCTAGATGCCGGAGTAGATCCCTCGTTTCCGTTGATTTCACAATGCTCGTCGTCCTGCAGGTTCAGAGGAAGGAAACTCGATCGAGTTTTCTACAAGGGAGAAATGAGATTATGCCCTAATTTGTCGAAGATACCTCGCGTAATACAAAATCTTTTTCGAGCTACCTTCAAAACCTTACCTGGGTGAGGTGCGCCGGAGTAGATCCCAGGGACGGATCGATTTCACCTCGCGCGTCGTCGTCGGCAGCTACAGGAAATCGGATCGCGGGCGACTGTGAGAAGCGAACGAGGGAAATGAACCAGATGCCCTAATTTGTCTAAGTGTGGGATGATATAGCGTTTTTGTCCATTTTGATCGTTTCTGGAATGAAAGCGTCAATCCAGTATTTTACTTTTTTTTTTTTTTTTTTTTAATTCAACTTTTCCAAAAATAAAAAATTAAATACCAGTAGTTACGAACACTTTACGTAACTAATGTTATTTTGACCAAATTCTACCATCTCATTATTTGTTACGATATTTTTTGCGTAACGACAGAACCTAAAACGTTGACCGGGTTTTTTTTTTCGTCACGGATTTTGTCGTAACTAATATATCTATTTGTTACGATTTTATTGTTACGGACTCTCAACCCGTGGTGAATAGCCCTTTTTTTGGTAGTGTATTTAGCACTTTGTTTTTTTCAATGGTTTTCATTTATATTATATAGCATGTTATAGATTATACTTACTTTGTGCTGTATAGTTCTAATTACATTGCTTTTCGTATTTGTTGTAGAGTGTTCGAAATTAGTATATTTAGCGCTTAGTTTTTTCAATGTGTTTCCTTAATATTATATAGCATGTTATAGATTATACTTACTTTGTGCTCTATAGTTTTAATTACAGTATTTTTCGTATTCATTGTAGAGTCTTCGAAATTAGTATATTTAGCGCTTTTATTTTTTCAATGTTTTTCCTTTATATTATATAGCATGTTATAGATTATACTTACTTTGTGCTCTATAGTTCTAATTCCAGTGCATTTCGTATTTGTTGTAGAGTGTTCAAAATTAGTATATTTAGCGCTTTTGTTTTCTCAATTTTTTTCCTTTATATTATATAGCATGTTATAGATTATACTTACTTTGTGCTTTATAGTTCTAATTACAGTGCTTTTCGTATTCGTTGTAGAGTGTTCGATATTAGTATATTTAGCGCTTTTGTTTTTTCAATGTTTTTCCTTTATATTATATAGCATGTTATAGATTATACTTACTTTGTGCTCTATAGTTCTAATTCCAGTGCATTTCGTATTTGTTGTAGAGTGTTCAAAATTAGTATATTTAGCGCTTTGTTTTTTCAATGTGTTTCCTTTATATTATATAGCATGTTATAGATTATACTTACTTTGTGCTTCTATAGTTCTAATTACAGTGCTTTTCGTATTCGTTGTAGAGTGTTCGAAATTAGTATATTTAGCGCTTTTGTTTTTTCAATGTTTTTCCTTTATATTATATAGCATGTTATAGATTATACTTACTTACAGTGCTTTTCGTATTCGTTGTAGAGTGTTCGAAATTAGTAAATTTAGCGCTTTTGTTTTTTCAATGTTTTTCCTTTATATTATATAACATGTTATAGATTATACTTACTTTGTGCTTTATAGTTCTAATTACAGTGCTTTTCGTATTCGTTGTAGAGTGTTCGAAATTAGTATATTTAGCGCTTTTGTTTTTTCAATGTTTTTCCTTTATATTATATAGCATGTTATAGATTATACTTACTTTGTACTCTATTGTTCTAATTACAATGCTTTTCGTATTTGTTGTAGAGTGTTCGAAATTAGTATATTTAGCGCTTTTGTTTTTTCAATGTTTTTACTTTATATTATATAGCATGTTATAGATTATACTTACTTTGTACTCTATAGTTCTAATTATAGTGCTTTTCGTATTCGTTGTAGAGTGTTCGAAATTAGTATATTTAGCGCTTTTGTTTTTTCAATGTTTTTCCTTTCTATTATATAGCATGTTATAGATTATACTTACTTACAGTGCTTTTCGTATTCGTTGTAGAGTGTTCGAAATTAGTAATTTAGCGCTTTTGTTTTTTCAATGTTTTTCCTTTATATTATATAGCATGTTATAGATTATACTTACTTTGTGCTTTATAGTTCTAATTACAGTGCTTTTCGTATTCGTTGTAGAGTGTTCGAAATTAGTATATTTAGCGCTTTTGTTTTTTCAATGTTTTTCCTTTATATTATATAGCATGTTATAGATTATACTTACTTTGTGCTCTATAGTTCTAATTACAATGCTTTTCGTATTTGTTGTAGAGTGTTCGAAATTAGTACATTTAGCGCTTTTGTTTTTTCAATGTTTTTCCTTTATATTATATAGCATGTTATAGATTATACTTACTTTGTGCTTTATAGTTCTAATTACAGTGCTTTTCGTATTCGTTGTAGAGTGTTCGAAATTAGTATATTTAGCGCTTTTGTTTTTTCAATGTTTTTCCTTTATATTATATAGCATGTTATAGATTATACTTACTTTGTGCTCTATAGTTCTAATTACAATGCTTTTCGTATTTGTTGTAGAGTGTTCGAAATTAGTATATTTAGCGCTTTTGTTTTTTCAATGTTTTTCCTTTATATTATATAGCATGTTATAGATTATACTTACTTTGTGCTCTATAGTTCTAATTATAGTGCTTTTCGTATTCGTTGTAGAGTGTTCGAAATTAGTATATTTAGCGCTTTTGTTTTTTCAATGTTTTTCCTTTATATTATATAGCATGTTATAGATTATACTTACTTACAGTGCTTTTCGTATTCGTTGTAGAGTGTTCGAAATTAGTACATTTAGCGCTTTTGTTTTTTCAATGTTTTTCCTTTATATTATATAGCATGTTATAGATTATACCTACTTTGTGCTCTATAGTTCTAATTACAGTGCTTTTCGTATTTGTTGTAGAGTGTTCGAAATTAGTATATTTAGCGCTTTTGTTTTTTCAATGTGTTTCCTTAATATAATATAGCATGTTATAGATTATACTTACTTTGTGCTCTATCGTTCTAATTTCAGTGTTTTTCGAATTCATTGTAATGTGTTCGAAATTAGTATATTTAGCGCTTTTGTTTTTACAATGTTTTTCCTTTATATTATATAGCATGTTGTAGATTATACTTACTTTGTGCTCTATTGTTCTAATTACAGTGCTTTTCGTATTCGTTGTAGAGTGTTCGAAATAAGTATATTTAGCGCTTTTGTTTTTTCAATGTTTTTCCTTTGTATTATACAGCATGTTATAGATTATACTTACTTTGTGCTCTATAGTTCTAATTGCAGTGCATTTAGTATTTTTTGTAGAGTGTTCGAAATTAGTATATTTAGCGCTTTGTTTTTTTCAATGGTTTTCATTTATATTATATAGCATGTTATAGATTATACTTACTTTGTGCTGTATAGTTCTAATTACAGTGCTTTTCGTATTTGTTGTAGAGTGTTCGAAATTAGTATATTTAGCGCTTAGTTTTTTCAATGTGTTTCCTTAATATTATATAGCATGTTATAGATTATACTTACTTTGTGCTCTATAGTTTTAATTACAGTATTTTTCGTATTCATTGTAGAGTCTTCGAAATTAGTATACTTAGCGCTTTTATTTTTTCAATGTTTTTCCTATATATTATGTAACATGTTGTAGGTTATACTTACTTTGTGCTCTATTGTTCTAATTACAGTATTTTTCGTATTCGTTGTAGAGTGTTCGATATTAGTATATTTAGCGCTTTTGTTTTTTCAATGTTTTTCCTTTATATCATATAGCATGTTATAGATTCTAATTACTTTGTGCTCTATAGTTCTAATTCCAGTGCATTTCGTATTTGTTGTAGAGTGTTCAAAATTAGTATATTTAGCGCTATTGTTTTTTCAATGTGTTTCCTTTATATTATATAGCATCTTATAGATTATACTTACTTTGTGCTCTATAGTTCTAATTAGAGTGCTTTTCGTTTTCGTTGTAGAGTGTTGGAAATTAGTATATTTAGCGCTTTTGTTTTTTCAATGTTTTTCCTTTATATTATATAGCATATTATAGATTATACTTACTTTGTGCTCTATAGTTCTAATTACAGTGCTTTTCGTATTTGATGTAGAGTGTTCGAAATTAGTATATTTAGCATTTTTTTTTTCAATGTTTTTCCTTTATAATATATAGCATATTATAGATTATACTTACTTTGTGCTCAATAATTTTAATTACAGTGCTTTTCGTATTCGTTGTAGAGTGTTCGAAATTAATATATTTAGCGCTTTTGTTATTTCAATGTTTTTCCTTTGTATTATACAACATGTTATAGATTATATTTACTTTGTGCTTTATAGTTCTAATTGCAGTGCATTTCGTACTTGTTGTAGAGTGTTCGAAATTAGTATATTTAGCGCTTTGTTTTTTTCAATGGTTTTCATTTATATTATATAGCATGTTATAGATTATACTTACTTTGTGCTGTATAGTTCTAATTACATTGCTTTTCGTATTTGTTGTAGAGTGTTCGAAATTAGTATATTTAGCGCTTAGTTTTTTCAATGTGTTTCCTTAATATTATATAGCATGTTATAGATTATACTTACTTTGTGCTCTATAGTTTTAATTACAGTATTTTTCGTATTCATTGTAGAGTCTTCGAAATTCGTATACTTAGCGCTTTTATTTTTTCAATGTTTTTCCTTTATATTATATAGCATGTTATAGATTATACTTACATTGTGCTCTATAGTTCTAATTCCAGTGCATTTCGTATTTGTTGTAGAGTGTTCAAAATTAGTATATTTAGCGCTTTTGTTTTTTCAATTTTTTTCCTTTATATTATATAGCATGTTATAGATTATACTTACTTTGTGCTTTATAGTTCTAATTACAGTGCTTTTCGTATTCGTTGTAGAGTGTTCGATATTAGTATATTTAGCGCTTTTGTTTTTTCAATGTTTTTCCTTTATATTATATAGCATGTTATAGATTATACTTACTTTGTGCTCTATAGTTCTAATTCCAGTGCTTTTCGTATTTGTTGTAGAGTGTTCGAAATTAGTATATTTAGCGCTATTGTTTTTTCAATGTGTTTCCTTTATATTATATAGCATGTTATTGATTATACTTACTTTGTGCTCTATAGTTCTAATTAGAGTGCTTTTCGTATTCGTTGTAGAGTGTTCGAAATTAGTATATTTAGCGCTTTTGTTTTTTCAATGTTTTTCCTTTATATTGTATAGCATATTATAGATTATACTTACTTTGTGCTCTATAATTCTAATTACAGTGCTTTTCGTATTTGATGTAGAGTGTTCGAAATTAGTATATTTAGCTTTTTTTTTTCAATGTTTTTGCTTTATATATATAGC